CAATTCCAAAAAGCAATTGTAAACATTAAAAAAGATTTTGAGGATTACTCCCCAAAGTACCTTTCCCTTCTATCTCCAATCTACGGCTTCTAGTAGAAGAGTTGATTGGTCCCAATTCCTTTAGTTGTTTAGATCTTTTTTTCTTGATTTGGACAGCAGAATCCACATTCACATTCACATTGTTCTCAGCTTTTCCTTTTTCTATTGACACAGAAGCAGCTCCTTCCAATTCTGAGTTGATAGTATCTTTCTCTAGCTCTTTGATACCTTCATCTTCAGCTTTACCTCTGTTCAATACATTTTCTGTAGTTATTTGATGTATTTCTCCTTCTTCTATATCAGCTAGTGCTTGAAAACTGTTGTGTTCAACAACAGTTCCAGTAATTTCTTTTATAACTCCTTCTATAGTAGTTTTTTCAGAAAAATTTAGATTCTCCATTCTCTGGTTGTCATCAGCTTTTTCTTCCTGTGCTTTATTTCCAATGGCCACAAACTATTTTGGTATTATTGCTTTCCTCCTCTCGTCATTTGTAGTTACTGCTTTGTTATTCCAGGTTTTATTGACAAATTTCCTCCCATAGTTCACTATCATCCAAGGACCATATTCTTCATTCTCAACAGGTGTTACTCCATCCTCTTTATTTTTCTCCACATTGTTTTTAGGAAGCTCTTTTTCTTATTGAATTGCTAGCTCTACATTCATTAATCTGTTATTAGGACAGAAATTTTTTAGATGGCCAATCTTCCCACAATCAAAGCAAAGATTGGGAAGTCTTTCATACTCTATTTTCTGAAAAAATTTGTTTTCTTCTCCTTCTACCAAACTCCTGTAGGAAGCTTGGCATCAAGGTCAATACGGACAAACACACGTCCAAATTCCCTTCTTGACCATTGGAACATGTTACCATCTATAAGATAAGGTTTTCCCACCATGGATGCTATACGACATATATTTACTTCGTCCCAACAAAAGAGTGGTAAATTTGGTAATCTAATCCATATAGGAGCTGATAGACCTTTTAGTGAATTAGGATCAAACCTTTGAGACCATCTATCCATCCCAACTATATTGCCATTGACAAACCAAGGTCCATTGGTTAGAACTGCTTCCATGTGTTCTTCTTCAAAAAAAAGAGCATAATATCTATCCTTTTCCCAAAATAGTAATATGAAATTTGCCATATTGTTCCCATTGCTTCCTCAATTCATAGCTAATTTAAGAAAGTGAGGCTTCTCCTCCAAAGATTTTAACTACCAGAGATTTATTCAGCTTCTTAGAATTTTCAGCAGCTTTATCCACTTGCAGTTTCACTGTTCTACCATCATTAGCTATGCAGCAACCATAATCCAATTCTGATATATTAATGTTTTTGCTTTTAGACCATACATTTTAAACAGATCCAGAATTAGTTCTCTTGGACATTTTTTCAGTAACCTCTTGACATGTTGCCAGTTCTCTAGCAAGACAATCTCGGACTTCATCCAGATCTGTTTTCTTTTTAATCACCTCATTTGTTTTACCTTCATTCTTGTCGTATTGCTCAGAACCAATAACTTCCACATAATCCCTTATCATTTCATTTAATTTACCTTTGTCTTCATTCAACAAACCTTCTTCCTTGCGGTTGTTCTCTGATATGGTTCTGGTCACCATAGAGTTATTCTTCACATTAAACTGTTTGACCGACCATTCCGTCTTCTCCATATTGTCCTCCATGATTTTACCTTTCCCTTTTCGAGGTACTTCCAGAACTTGTTTCTTCATCATTTTCCCACCTTCATTGATGGTTAATGGTTTGTTTCCAATTGAAGCAGCTTTTAACCTAGAAAAAATCAGCAATCTATCATCTCCAAATGCTGGTGGTGACGACGAAACGTCTCGAGATCCACCAAATATCGAACGTCCTGTTGAACGACGTTCCTCCATCCCACTGACGGCCGGAGATGGCCGTCGACCATTTGTAGAAATAAGCCGACGACGACGCCGTGAAAAAAGATTTTCAAAATAACAGGATTTTGAAATCTCAGAGTCTCTCTCTCTACTTTCTCTCTCTTATGTCGATGCTTCCTTAAGTAGCTGTATATATGAGTAGTCAAAATAAATAAGTAGTATATATTCCTTAAGTAGCAGTATAGCAGCTATATGAGTAGTCAAAATAAATAAGGCATCTGACTCATAAACTCCAGGTACTCACTTAGGATTCACACTATCAAAAGGCCACTAAAAATTATTTATTTTCATTTTTTCAATTAATTCATGGGCTTCATAAAAAAGATTAAACATTAATGATCCTCTAATTATAACATCAATTATTAACCTAAAGGATCCTACCAGTCCATTATAAAAAGTTTAAATAACTAACCAATCTGATAAAGCATAATGAGGGCATTTCCTTAACTTCTCCTTAAATCTCTCCCAACTTTCATAAATTTACTCTCCTTCAAACTAGGAAAAGGATGTGATATCATTCCTAAGCTGGCAACTTTGGAAGGTGGAAAATACTCATTTAATAATTTATTTGCTAACTCATTCCAAGTGGTTATAAAGCATGGGGGCAAGGAATTCAACCATATCTTAGCTTTGTCCCTTAACAAAAATGATAATAAGCGTAACCTAAGAGCATCATCACTGACACCATTATACTTGAATGTTCCATAAATTTATAAGAAGCTAGATAAGTATAGGTTGGGATCCTTAATAGGATTTCCCATAAATTGAGAATTTTGAACCATCTAAATTTGGCAGGTTTTTGCTCAAAGTTATTAGCATGGATAATAGGTCTATTGATACTCAAGTGAATTCTATCTATTATTGGATTGGCATACTCCCTAAGAGGACTAGGATAATCATGTTCTTGAATTGGTTTAGACTTATCTAAAACTAAAGTCTTTTTAAATTTTTTAATTTTTATAAGAGTGATCATAATATCTAAGTCAAACTACAAGGGATCCTTACTAGATCTACTATACATGAACAACAAAGATGAAATTAAATAATAAAAAGTAGTAAAAATAAACAAAAATTTTCTTTTTAAAAAATTTTAAACAAAATAACAAGTTGGATATAAGTTACAGGATACAAGTAGGACTAAATATGCAATTAGCTTAATAATATAGATTAATTTATAATATGCACATCACTTCCCCAATAATAGTGCCAAAAACTTAATGGGGGACTATATGAGTTTGCGTTAGATACAAGTTATGTTTATGCTTTAGATTTAAATATGCTTAGCTTTTCTTTGATATGTAATACCAACTAAATATGCAAGTGCACATGTTGATCAAGTATTAAAGTGATTGAGATAAGTCGATCCCACAAGGAATTGTAAATGAACTAGTTCTGTCTATTATAGCTATAATGTTTATCCTGCTGAATGAAAATAAGGGTTGAGATTCTATCTCTATTGGAAAATATAAAAGAAAAGATTATATACAAGATGAATAAAT